ACTGCCTAGAGGACACATGATTTGTCCGGCAGAAGCCACACGCCTACAGTGAATCATCCTTAGTTCCTGCTCCCATCCTCGGGGACCGTTTCTGTAACAACTTCAGTTTCTCATTTGAAATCATTTCCTTCTTCCTCCTTATGACTGTTCCTTTGAAGCCAGCTGGCGCAGAGATTCAATTCCCTCCGTGTGGCAATAGACTTGCAGTGCCATTGAATGGGGTTGGAAGGAAGCAGTGAGTAAGTGAGGTTTAAACTTTATGCCAGCCACAGTGAGCGTCTGCTGTCTTGTGTCTCGGTAGCCTTTGCGTATGGAAAGGCTGGTGGTGAGACCACAGCGGTACATGTGATGCATGAGGAGAAAAGAAGGGTGCAGCTGTTTCTTCACACTGAACAGTTGTTTAAACAGTAACATTTCGATTAATGTTTGTGCAGAGAGTTCTAGTGCTGTGGGCATTATATTTCTTTGCATGGTACTATTGGGTGTGGGTAGGATGGAAGTGGGCTGTGAGGAGTGGGAGGAAAAAGAGAGAACCATGAAAATTCAGACTCTGATTAGCTTGCTGAGTGCAAGAGTATGCATTAAACACACTGAATAGGAGGCACATAGCTACGCTCTTACTATCCCCAGATGCATAGATACCATAGTGATCCATGCTTTAGAAACACTGTATAATAACTGAGAAAGGTGGCGAGATAGAGATCTTTATAAATATGCCAGTCTACGAGAAGGAACTGGATGGAGGAATCGATCTCTGCCAAATTTGTCCATAATAAGGAACGGTAGCATGTTGGTGACACAGACCAGCCATAAAAGATCCTGCAGACTCCGCTCAACCTCGACACCTCTGCTGGATAAGTAAGGGGTAGCAGCCAAGGCACAGTAGTGAATGCAGATCAACACCACTGGTGAACAGCAGAGGAAACAGGAGAAGGAAACAAGGTTCTGAATCTCCTCCCATTACACAGGTATAAATCAGGAAGTCCATGGGGTCACATCAGTAAAAGCACAAGAGAAGAACCAGTCCCAAATACTTGGTCATAAGCAACCCAGCAGAACAGTCAGCAGCTAGTCCCGTCCTTTCCACATTGTTCCACTATAGCACAAGTCACTGGGAGCACCCTATGCCTAACAGATGAGTCCTTCTGTCATGTCAAGAAAGTTGTTTGGGGGAAAGCTTTTTTATATAACATACTTTTTGTGGCCGATTGGGGCAGAGAGTAATGTACTGCAGGCACTCAAATACCATGGTGATGGGGCCATATATAGGACCTAAAAAGATCGTCAAGATAGACATGGCAGAGGAACCTATCTTTTTGCAAGCCACACCCAATCCACTATGTTGTTCTACACACAGAAGGTCTGCCCTGTGCACTGCCAAGGCGCTGTAGCCAGACAGACCAACCCCCCATATCATCCATCTTATTTGCCTCTCTGAAGCATACAGGGCAGAGAAGGAGCAGTAAAATCAGCATAGTCTATGCTGGCTCATCTGATCCTGAGAAGCTGAAAAAACAGATATGTGGAGAGAGAGCGATTAAGTCAATAAGCTGGCCTCGAGGCTGCGAGAACTGCCCCGGCTGGCACCCATGTTGATTCGAACACACACACAGTCCCTGGGAGAGGAATTTCCCACTGAGAAAAGAATCCCCAGTAATTCCAATTTAGTTATCGCTCTTACAAGTGTAAATTAAGTTCACAACTCCCTTGTAAGAACTGGTCTCACAAAAGACAGACCAGCATCATTTGGCATTACAGATAAGAAAGAGAAAATACATGACCCTATGAGTATATAAGATAGGTCCAGCACACACTCACTTTGAGTGTCATTCTACCCTCTACCTGCTGGTCGGGTTAGGTGTTTGACCTCCCGAGGTTCTATGGGGACGCCCACCTCGTATTTTCGTCTTTCCTAGGAATTGAGGGACCGGCCCTGGCCTGACATGCTGGAGTCGAGAGGCACAGAAGGGGGTAAAAATTGTACCTGGATGTGGTCCTCTGTCTTAAGTGTACACATAGAAAGAGTAAGCTGTTACTTGGTACCATTATTTCTATTTTTCTATCTTTATCTTCTTTGTAACCATTTTTAAGACCTATATTTTGCTAATAGTTAAGAAATAGAGCAATAGCCATTGTAACCATATGATTTATAAGCTTCCTCAATAAACCTGTAACTGTTTAAGCTTTAACCTGACTCCTTCAGTTGCTGTAACAGAACCAAGCACAATTTAAAAGAACTTCAGCCGGTCTAAAGGGACAGTTATAGGAAGAGCTTGGGCGTTTGGATCTGTGTCACTCCCAGGTGACAGGACAACCATATGATTTATAAGCTTCCTCAAATAAACCTGTAACTGTTTAAGTTTTAACCTGACTCCTTCAGTTGCTGTAATAGAACCAAGCACAATTTAAAAGAACTTCAGCCGGTCATAAAGGGACAGTTATAGGAAGAGCTTGGGCGTTTGGATCTGTGTCACTCCCAGGTGACAGGGTCCACTGGGGCACTTCTCAGCCTTTCCTGGGCTGCCCGCTGCGAAGGAATTATGAATTCTAGCAGCTAAAATCTGAAGTGTAATAAGCTCTTCCTGTACACACTGGGGCGTCTGTTAGCCTGTTTGGCTACCCTCTGCGACGGGACTTCGGTCCTAGCAGTAAAGTCACGGACGTTAAACTATTTTTCGGGGCGCCCTCCAGCCTCCTAGGCTGCCCGCTGCAACGAGACTTTGTGTCTCAGCAGTTGAAGACTTGGGTGTAACACACACGCACACACTGCCCTGACCGTCGGCTGACAGGCGCACTTCTCTCCTCAGTGTGCTGCACACAGCAACCTTGTTTATGTGAAGTTTGCACACATTTCTTTACTTGCAGTGGGCAAGATGCACTTTCTTTGCCACTTCCGCAACAAGCAACCCATGGTGCAAGTAAAGGCCCTTCCATTTAGTAAGCAGAAATACCAAGTTCAGTCCCTTGGTCTTTAGAATGCTGCCGTTTTAGTTTGTACCTCCTGGTATAGGCAGTATCTTGACTGCAGAGGAATCAGCCCTTTGTCACTCATTTATTAACTAAAAAAAAAAAAAAAGAGGTTTATATTTATGCCAGATACAGATTTAAATGGACTCAAAATGACATCAGCCTCATGGAGGTGTGATCCTGGCATGTAGGCAATGAAATGGTATTCCAGCAGATTGGAGTAAATCCCACATCAGTATATGCAGTTACTCACATTTGTTTTTTTACCTGTGTCTTTTTTATACAGATTTGTGTGTCTTGGTATCCAACAACTTCTAGGACATAAAAGAAAACATTTTATAAGAATTTCTCCCAAAACGAGCAATTATTAGTCCAGATTTTCAGCTGGTGACTTTCATGGAGCTACCAGATGAGACTCTGACAATGTGAATAAGGCTATGAAAATGGAAAGAAATGCAGAACCTGAAAGTACACCTTTAGTCTGCAATCTGTCCATCTGTGACGAGGTTGATGGAAGACAAACACCAAAGTCTTGAAGAGATAGGGCAGGTAATTTATTGATAAAGGAAATCTGAAGAGTGAAAGAAACTCTAAGTCCAGCTGAGATCCATGCCAGAAACCACAGATGAGATAAGGGATCGTTTAACAGCTCTTTAAACATTGAAAGCAAACCAGGGAAAGCATGCATGGACTGGAGATAGAAAAGCAATTCTGTTCCTGGAAGTTAGAAAAAGGTCACCTTGATTTCATGAGTGGGAAAATTCTGGACATGCTATTTGGTACATAATGCAGAAACACCCACAAGCGTGCTGGGGAATGGTCAGGGTCTTTCTCCTCCTATCCAACTGCTCTGTATCTTGTATTCATAGAGCCTGAGGCCAGGGGAAAGGCATTTGCTGGGAAGGAGGATATACACTTATTTTTATTATTTGCAATATAAATGCCCTCTTGCATAATTATTAGCAATAAAGAGTTTAAAGCTAAATATTTTTATTCATAATTAGAGGGAAAACCCCACATTATTCACCTTTGAATTTAGCCCCTTTTCCTGTTGCAAGTCATCTTTGAACAGAGTGGAAATTGTCCAAACTTGTTCACGATTCAAAATTGATCAAAGTTTTATGTGAATATATTTCAACCTATGAATCACTCAAACTCAGTACGTGAGTTGTTTGATCACTTAAATCACATAGTAAGATGACACGAACACACACAGCATTAAAATACATGTACAATGCTAGCTTTCTGGGCACGGGCTTGCAAAGGAAAAGAAGCCGCTTGCAAAAATGATCATGAAAAACAGAAGTGTTGTGAATGCCTGCGAAGCAATATCCACCCTGCTGCAAGACCAGTGAGCTGTAATTCCAGACAATGAGATTTTAAAAGTAACTGTGGAGAATCTCCACTAAGAAATAGAGATCTCAAGGGTGAAATTTTGACCCAACTAACGTCAATGGTATGTCTACACTATGCGCTTTGCCAGAATAGGCAATGCAAATGAAGTGCAGATTAGCATTTTCTCATGCTTCATTTGCATAATCTCTTCCGGTCCGTTTTTGTGCAAAAACAAGCAATGTGGACGTTTCCTTTTTGCACAAGATCCTTATGCCTCTTCCAGCAAAGCGTGTAGTGTAGACATAGGAGTTCTGTCATTAACTTCAGTGGGAACAAGATTTTAGTCAGAGTACAGGTGGGCAGAGAGAGAAAATATCTGCAGTAGCACACTGGGTTAGGAAATCTAGAGAGGATTGTTGCCTGAGTCCAGGAGAAGCCTAATAAAGTGCAACTCACTCATAATGCAGATGTGCTGTTCTCTTGGTTATAACTTTCATGCACCCTGCTTATTGTAGAACAGACAGTTCTCTTTTTTATATTGTGCAGTATATAATCCTGCAAGAGTCTGGTTTAAGGAAGGAGGTATGATTGCTATTATCATGGATTACTGGAGATAGCAGACAAGAGTGTAACTATCCTAGGTTTTGCATTTCAATGAGTAGTCTGCACAGAGAACTTTAAACTCCACTGTTTATCAGATCTGGACAGAAGCAGCTCTTTGCTGAAGCATCCTTCCAAGATCCTTGCCGCAGTAAACAAAGAAAAATCTGACTCCAGCCACAACAAGGTCAGGCCAGACAAACACAGAAATTCCAAAGGGCCTTAACTGTAAGTGACACAGCACCACAGAAGTAATCAGAGAGAGATGGTTTTAGAAAAAAAAACTTGCTTTAAAATACTGTTCCTTGATAGTTATACAGGTTTACAACTGCATAAAGTGGAGGGGTTGGATTAGTGCCTTAAACATCAGAACTGCAATATGCACATGCCCTCAGAGTTCAGACATCAGATTGTCCTAAAGCTCGGTCCTACCCCTTTGGATAGATTTCCAGAGACTTCATTGGGAGGGAGACCCAGCCCTACATGCCTAAATAAAGATTGAGATTAAATGCACCACAAGCATAACGTTCTCGTGGGAAACGAATCAAGTTCCATGCAGGATGCAGTAGTGAAGTGTCTCACTCACTGGGCTATTGTCATTCTAGGAATACAGTCAAAGACCCTCTTCTCTCAGAAACTGTTTCAATTTATTCTTGCTGTGAGTAATCCCAGAGATTGCTCTCAATGAAAGACCTTAGGGAAATATTTTCCAGTTTGTTTACTCTGCGTTTGGCAGTGCTTGGTGTAGAGCCAGTTCCACTCTGTCCTCAGGATAGCCAGCAAGGCTCTATAACAGGGTCTACAAACCCCACAGCAAGCAGAGGTGGAAGTGGCGAGAGCAGGCCTGCTGACAGGGGGAGGGGAAAAGGGGGCCCAGTGATTCAAAGAGGTCCAGGGCGTCAGCCCTTTACATTGCTGACAGAGTACTGCAGCTCTTAGGGCTGCCTCAGGAGGCGGGGGCATTGTACGGCATGCTCCAGGCAGCGCTGAGGTGGGGCACCACAGTCCGAGCAGTGCTGAGGGCTGGCTGCCCTTGGCCCTGCCCCTTCCACCCTCAGCCCCACCCCTTCCAGGAGCATGGCGCTCCCCCTCCCCGCCTTGCCCAGGGGCCTGGAGTGGCTCTCCGCTCCCCAGTATGTGAAAGAATAGTCTTTATTGTCTACAGGTAAGTAATTGCACATTTTTAAACTTTTGAATTAAATCTTCATTTTAATTTAAAAAGTTGTGTGTATTTTGGGAATGACCAAAGAGCCATATTTGGTTCCATGCTCAGACAGATTTGGCTCGAAAGCCATAGGTTGCAGACCTCTGTTCTAGTGGAAGACTTTGCAAAAGCCAACAGGTACTAGAACTGCAGGAGACGCGCTGGAGAAGAACTGAGTTCTGCCTGTTTTGATCACAACAATCTGTCTCTTTCTTCAACTGAGTTGAGAAAAGCATAGCTAACCACTGTGACAGCAGCTTGTGTTTACATCTTCACTCTGCCTGAGACCATGGGCAGCTCGGCCACACCCTATAGAGCTGCCACAAATTAACTGCCAATCCTGAAGGCAGGCACCACAGCGGCAATCAATAGGGTAAAAGAGACCTGCTATAAAAGAAGAAAGCTCATCAAAGAAGAGGAAGGCAGACAGGCCTGGGACAATGAAGGGACAAAACCCCTGCAGTAAGCGGCCTCTGGAAACACAAAGTGACAGCAGGAGATGGCTGGCCCTGGCCTCTAGTTAGGGCTAAGAACTATTCTGGCCCAGGGTCTAATGCCCTCTAATGGAAGAAAGTCAGCTGAGGATGGTAGAAAACCCTGAAAACACCACATCAGTGACCCGTGACAACTGATTTCAAGGGAAGTTAGGCTTCTAAGCACCTTTGAATCTAGGCTGATGGTCCTGATCCTGGATCAGGATCCTCTGATGCAGTGGTCTCCAATCTTTTTACACCCAAGATCACTTTTTAAATCTCAGAACAGGCGAAGATCTACAGCCCCGCCCCTTCCTTGAACCCCCGCCCCTCTATTCTCCTCCTGTCCATCACTTGCTATCCTCAGCCCTTACTTACACACTCTGATAAACAGTTTATTTTTAAATTATGCGATATATAAAATTAAAATCGCGTGTTTATAGAGGGAAGCCAGCACGAGCCTCCTCCAGGCCCGACTCCCCCCCCGCCTCCATGGCACAGGAAACCCCGCGTGTGCCTGCCCCGGAGCCAAACACCCCCCCTTCCGTGGTAGGGCCAAACCCCCACGGGCGCCTGCCCCAGGGCCAAACCCCCTCTCCTGCGGCACAGCGCAGCCAACAGCTTTCCGCAGCATGGCCAACCCCCGCGGGCGCCTGCCCCAGGGCCAAACCCCCTCTCCTGCGGCACAGCGCAGCCAACAGCTTTCCGCAGCATGGCCAACCCCCGCGGGCGCCTGCCCCAGGGCCAAACCCCCTCTCCTGCGGCACAGCGCAGCCAACAGCTTTCCGCAGCATGGCCAACCCCCGCGGGCGCCTGCCCCAGGGCCAAACCCCCCTCCCACGGTGCGGCCCGGCCCGGCCAACCTCCCCTGCTGTCCCCTCCCACAGCATGGCCAACACCCGCGGGCGCCTGCCCCGGGGCCAAACCCCCTCCCCTCCCGCAGCGCGGCCAAACCCTCGCCCCTCCTGCCCCGGCCAAATCCCAGGGCCGACCCCTGCTCCCGTGGCGCAGGGAAACCCCTGCGCTCGACTCACCCCTCTGGCGCCAGCGGCACAGGGGTCCCCTCCCACAGCATGGCCAACCCCCGTGGGCGCCTGCCCCGGGGCCAAACCCCCCTCCCCTCCCGCAGCGCGGCCAAACCCTCGCCCCTCCTGCCCCGGCCAAATCCCAGGGCCGACCCCTGCTCCCGTGGCGCAGGGAAACCCCTGCGCTCGACTCACCCCTCTGGCGCCAGCGGCACAGGGAAGCCGTCGCACTCCTCCTCCGGGGTCGATGCCCCCTCCCCCAGCACGCAACAGAGCTGTGGAAGGGGAGCAGCCCGTGCACTTCCGGAACCCCAGAATTGACGCAGGCTTCAGACAGGACTTCCGTCCACACCGCAGGAAGTCGGCACTATACTAGAGGTAGGTAGTGAGGCTTCTCTGGGGGAGGGGGAAAATAGGGGGGGTGGGGGTGCCCAAACGCCTCGCGATCGACTGGTCGAGGCCTCGCAATTGGCCAGTCGATCGTGATCGACGGGTTGGTGACCATGGCTCTGATGGGATGCCTGCAGCTGAGAGTCCCACAACATCTGATGGATACAGGCATCAGATCCCAGTGCAGAAGAGAGTCCTTTCTCCGATCCCCATGATCTTTTACACAGCAGCAGATGAGGGACAAAAATCTGGAAGAATACACACAAAAAACCCCCAGAGAAACTTGATTGTAAAATGGCCAAAACTGACAGCTGGCATTGTGGCTGAAACCCATTAAATCATTTGTTCTTTTAACTCGTTTTGGGAATTATTTGCAGGTTTCTAGTTAACTCTGCCCCTTCATCTCATCTCATTGGTGTAATTTCATGTATTGCTGTACAATGTAGCTCCTCTCCTCCCAATCAATTTCATTCTCCAGGTCAGAATAAGCGAGCGGAGAGCAGAGAATTACCTCCAGCAGGAGAAGCGGATCCTTTTGCAGAGAGAGGTCCAACAGAATGGCTACGTCTACACTGGCATGAATTTCCAAAAATGCTTTTAACGGAAAAGTTTTCCGTTAAAAGCATTTTCGGAAAAGCACATCTGGATTTGCAGGATGCTTTTCCGCAAAAGCACTTTTTGCGGAAAAGCGTCCGTGGCCAATCTAGACACGGTTTTCCACAAAAAAGCCCCGATCGCAAAAATGGCAGAAAACAGTACTATGCTGTCTACACTGGCCCTTTTGGGCAAAAGTCTTTCAGAAAAAGACTTTTGCCCAAACGGGAGCAGCATAGTTTTTCCGGAAAAGCACTGATGATTTTACATGAGGTCGTCAGTGCTTTTCCGGAAATTCAAGTGGCCAGTGTAGACAGCTGGCAAGTTTTTCTGGAAAAGCTGCTGATTTTCCGGAAAAACTTGCCAGTCTAGACACAGCCAATGTGTTAAGGTATGTCCACGTTACAAATGCTACAGTTGTACAGGTTCTTCCATTGCTGTACTAAATCCACCTCTGAGGGGCAGTAGCTAGGTTGAAAGAAAAAAATCTTCCATTAACCTAGCACTGTCTACGCTAAGGGCTGAGATTGGCTCAACTGCATCTCTCTGCCTTGCTGTCAGTCACTAATACTACAGAGAGGGGATCAGACTTAGCAATTGGAAATAAAGGAAAATGCCTCACAACTGGTGGTTTTCTAATATGGTTTTGCCAACCCCAGATATGCAAAAATCAAGAGACTTTTAAAAATAATAAAAGTTCTTTGCTTGCCTTCTGGTTTGTGCACCTTCAAGCTGGACATGCTTCGAATTGTCAAGCTTTTCTCTGAAACCACAAGAATTAGAAATGTTCATGATTCCTACTCGCTGGACCTTTAAGAAAAGCCCTCCAAATCACAAGCTGGCAACACTGCCTATGTCTGCAGTTTGTAAGGCTTTTCATAAGTGGCACTACCATTTGTGTGGCCTGAGGAAATAGCTTCACCTCTCTGGATTTCAGTGTTCCCCTTGGTGAAAACAATAAAAAGGGACAGTGCCAACTATGTAAATCCATATTTTTCCATGTAACTTGTAGCAGGGGCAAGATGACAGTAATGCTGATTTCTGCATGTTTAGAGAGCTGATTATCTGGCTTTCTTTAAAATATTCGAGGAAAAACAATACCAGCCCCCGTATTGACCTAGGCGCGTGGTGAAACAACGGCTGTTGTTTATCATTCACTCTTCCAGATTTGATTACCAGGCTTGGGGGGGAGTGGGGGAGAATGAACATTCATGGAGAAGCTGCCCTGCGTGCAGTATCAACAGAATCAACACTCACACACTATCTCCTCACATGCTTACCCACCTGGTGCCCATGGTCTCAGGCAGAGTGAAGATGTAAACACAAGCTGCTGTCACAGTGGTTAGCTATGCTTTCTCAACTCAGTTGAAGAAAGAGACAGATTGTTGTGATCAAAACAGGCAGAACTCAGTTCTTCTCCAGCGCGTCTCCTGCAGTTCTAGTACCTGTTGGCTTTTGCAAAGTCTTCCACTAGAACAGAGGTCTGCAACCTATGGCTTTCGAGCCAAATCTGTCTGAGCATGGAACCAAATATGGCTCTTTGGTCATTCCCAAAATACACACAACTTTTTAAATTAAAATGAAGAATTAATTCAAAAGTTTAAAAATGTGCAATTACTTATGTAGTCTGAATGTGTGTATGAACCTGAATTTGACCTAAATATGAACCTGAATTTGTCAGGGCACACTGCAGAATTGTGCTCCAATCTAGTGGCTACTCTGTATCTCCAGGTTCCAGGCTATGCTACTGACTGCAGGGTTCCTTTCTTCTCTCCCTGCAGCCCACTTCTACTCAGCTTCTCTGCGGCCAGGCTTCACCTTCACTTAGGCCTAGCCATTCTCTCCAGGTGCAACCATGTATCTTGCCAGCTCCAGTTTACCCTTTAATCACCTCTGGGGATTACACATTTCACCATAGGGTCCCAGACTATTTTGCTGGAGCTTGATTGCAATGGATTAGCACAGGGGTGGCCAACCCATTCCAGGCAAAGAGCCAAGATATCAGTGGATGCAGCGTGAAGGAAGGTGTCCCCAGTCGCCTTTGGTCGGGGGAAAAAAAGTGTTTATAGGCTTTTTGGCCACATCAGGCTCCCAGCTGCTGACACCATCTTTATACTCCATCTTTAATGGCAGTGCCGGACGGTTCCCCTACCCCAGTGAGCACAGGGAGCTGGGAGGAGAGGGTGGTTTTCAAGGGTGTGGGGGAAGCTTTACAAGCCATAGGGGGGAAGAGCCGCATGCAGCTCACGAGCCGCAGGTAGGCCACGGCTGAATTAACAGATGGGCCTGGCCATCCTATAACCTTTCTGGAGTCACTTGCATAACAGGTAGACACACAGTTGCCACCTCTCTCTCTCTCTCTCCCCTTTTCCAATCTGCCCTCTATTTCCTTCTCATTTTCCACTTTTCCTTTGTTTCTCCACAAGCCAACATGCCGTTTGGGGAGGTGAAGGGAGCTGTTCTGAGTGGCTCAGAAGGACTGGGCTACAGATGCTCTCTTGGTTCAGTTGAGCACCATGGATGCAGATTAGAGAAGCAGGGCAGATTACAAGACAGACCTGCATGGGGCTACCGCACAATCAGGGTCCTGCTTTTACTTGTTTTCACTGAGTATCCTTAACTATTGTTAAATGCCATTTTCATGGAGCTGGCTTTCACAAAGCCTTCCTAGCTGATTCTTTTGAATGTAAAGCATTGTTTAGGAGACAAGTGTGTTCGGTAGATCCAGCTTTTGAGCCTAGATCCTATTAGCAAGGTTATTTTTTCCAGTTTTTGGCATGTGGTGAATGGCACTGTCGTGCCAGCCAAGTCTGAATTCTCTCATTATCAGATTGCAGAAAATGAGGCTAAACCCGGGAGCCCTGAAATGCTTTCATTGGCGGTTACAGGAAGAAATACCTCCATTCACAGACCACTGCAGTGCAGCTGAGGAGAGGAAGGGAAATCTGCTGGAGCGGAAACATCTGTGAATGGCTGGAAGTAAGTGTCTGGACAAAGGTATGTTTATGACTACACATTTGATGAAGCAACTGAGTATTAGCAGGAAGACTGGTAAAGATGAAATCGGAAGTGCTTATTGAAATGCCCAACTATGGGTCTCGTGTGTTACTAGCAAATACGGTATTGGGAGCATCAGTATGTGACTTTTCCTGACTCATGCAAGAGCCAATTTCAGACCAGACCTAGCATAAAATCTGAATTGGTACGAAGCCTGTTCCTCCATGTAGCGTTCCAGGAGGTCATCCTGCATTCGGGTTCACAGCACAAAATCCTGCTCCTGCCTACGTCAATGCAGGTCCTGCCATTGACGTCAGTGGCTCCAGGGTGTTCCCTGTACAGCAGAGTGACATTCCTTCTTTATCCAAAAGGACCCCTGTTATCTGACCTCTGAGGTTCTCTTGTTGCTTGGTCCAAACTTTCACAGAGATCCCTTCTGCTCTGAAGGAAGAAATTCTTCTTGTGCACATGAAACAAGACAAGGTCCTGGTAGCTGTTTCCGCACTGACACTGCAGCAACATTCAACCCTTATGGTACTCCAATAGAATGAATGCTGTTGCTGCATTATTAGAGATAATGGGAATGCTCCACACCCCTGTACATTGGGCTGGCAGTGTATGGGAGCCACAGAGTATGTGTACAGTGCAAAAAACAACCCACAGCCATGAGACTCAGTCTCAGGGTGTGTCTACACAGCACCCTTAGCTCAAAATAGCTTATTTCATCATTTAGCATGGTCTACACTGCCAAATTTCAAAATAATTCGCTATTCCAAATCGCCCCTTAACCCTCATGGAATCAGGGTTACCAGGACATTAGAATAAGCCGCCCATTACAAGCAGTCCCTGGGTTACATGGATCCGACTTACATCGGATCCCTACTTACAAACGGGGTGAGGCAACCCTGCACTAGCTGCTTCCCCCCCCCTGCAGACCAGGGAGACACGGAGCGGCTTTTCTCAGCAGACACCTCAGCTTGAGAATAAAGGACTGAGGGAAGTGAGGTGTGGGAGAATAAAACTGAGCTCTGGAGAAATGTTTGGCTAGAGTTTCCCCTACAATATGTACCAGTTCCGACTTACATACAAATTCAACTTAAGAACAAACCTACAGTCCCTATCTTGTACGTAACCCGGGGACTGCCTGTATTTCAAATCTATTTCAAAGTAAATAGACACAGAATAGCTATTTCAGGATACTTCTGGTATCCCGAATAGCTCCGCTAAATAGACACAGAATAGCTATTTCAGGATACTTCCGGTATCCCGAATAGCTCCGTAGTGTAGATGTACCGTCAGAGTCCAGGTCTATAGACTCATGCCCATGAGCTTGCACAACAGTGCTAAAAATAGCCATATAGTCCTTCCAGCTCCAGGCCCTCTTGCTGGCTTTCAGAGCTTGAGCACCAGCCCACGTGGGAATGTCTACAAGACAGACCCAGAACCCAGGAGTCTCTCTTCCCACCCAACTCTCTGAAGGCCTCAGCACAGGGGAGGTGCCGAGGCTGGGAGAAGAGGGTTTGGGAATGGGAGGAGTGTGCCCTGTAGTAATTAGGGGCTGCAGCACAGTCCGTATCCAGCTGTGAGTATGACTAGGCTAGCATAACCCATGGAGGTGCTCGAACTTACCTCCATGCCATTTTGGCTCCAGCAGCATCAGCCCAGAATGCAAAGATAACTTAAAGCCACTTTTTCCCTCTCCTCCTTCTGGGTTGCATCCCAAGAGATGTAGTAGCGCGTGGACCAATTAGTCATCTTAGCATAAGGTGCTAGAGGATTCTCAAATGACTGAAAAATCAGCTTTTGCTGTAGGGCCCCTACCGTTGGTTTTTCTAGTTGACTCACATTGTTCATTCTGCTCTTCTGAGGATAGGTGCTGTAGTGTGGTGCACCTTACAGCAGGATGTGTTTTGTGCCCTTTTTTGTACTCAGCCCACAGAAATTAGCAGTCAGCTAAAGATGCTAGCTAAGGGATATGGACAACAAAATACCTTTCAGGCTCTGGATGCAGATAGGTGTCAAGTGAGATTTTCAAAAACGCCTAAGGAGATCAGGTGCCTAACCTCACTGGAATCTTTAGACACCTAAATACCTCTGAAAATATGGCCCTTAGTCCTTTAGCTCAAGCTGTAGCTGCTCTTACTTTAGCTCTGATGATCCCATGTTCTGTCTCTGGTGATAACCAAGCTTACTATCATTACAGGATGTGTGTACCATTCTCCAGCACAAGCTACAGAAGACTTTTAACTAAAAGTACATCAACACAAACCCTGAAACTGCAAATCAAATTGTACTTGAATTGCATGAGGAGTGAGGCACTAAAAATAAAATAAAAACTTGTTTAAAGGTCTGGCCCATGTGGTGATTAACATGGCAGACTGATGAATGGTTTTGGTTTATTGGTGAAGTCTCTTGTCCAGTGTATGAGTAGCTGGCAATGTTATGAAACAAACCTAATTGGACATGCGTTATAGAACAAGGGTGCAGAAACTGAGCCATAGATGCCTTAGAGCTATAGATGTCCAGATAAGGCAGCAAAGGTCTTCTGTTCTGGAGTGAAATTCAGACCAGAAAACCACTAAGACACTTTTTGAATAAGTTGGATTTCTCCACCACCCAAGAACAACCAAGAAACCACTATGGGTGAGGGGATGAAAAGAATCAATCCAACTGGCAAATATTGTACAATCACAAGTCAATGAATCTTACTCAAAAGAATGTAAAAGTCTCTCTATCGTGAAAACAACAGTCATACACTGTTATCAGGTTATGGCACTATAAATATTTGAGCATGACCAAATACTCGCTTGTTCCTGGGGGAAAAAATATCCTAGCTTCCATTGGAACATGCAGATTTCTTGTCAAAAGACTAGAACTAGAAAATCTAAACCAGACTCTCTTCATTGTCGTTTTCCCTTTGTACCAATGCAAAGGGATTCTCTGTCCCCATGTGACACAATTAGTTTAGATCATTCCAATGCCAATCCAGTTAGCTTATGGCAAAAAGGAGCATAGAGGGACAAAGGGGGCCTGGCCACAGCCCTGTTGAACTCCAGCAATGTCTAGCTGACAAACTGACCAACATAGGGCACTAACCAGCTGCTGTACTTCAGAGCAGCCCTACTCCTATTCACGTCAGTGAGCTTTGGGTCAGATTCTCAATTATTTGTGCACTTAGGATTTATTTTATCAAAAGAAAAATATCTGCATCAGGCCACCAAGAAGCAAATGTAAAATTGAACTCTCATGAATGAAACACATGGCAAACATTTTTGTACTGTTGATAGCAAGACAATAGTTAATAACTAAAGGCAAATTCTGATCTCAGATACCCATAATAGTGTCTCATTGCCTTCAGTGGAAGTCATGCACAGTCATGTGCCTGAACAAAAACTGGCCTTAGATCTTTATTAAAATCTGGTGTGACTATACATTGTTTTTGCCAAATTACAGTGTTTTAAATTTAGCCGAATGAGTATCATGTTTCAGGATATTGTCTGAACTAGATAAACAGAAGCCAAGCTAGACCTGCACTCATTGACTCTTGAGTCATGTAAAAATTCGTCATGTCTCTTGGGTTAGGGAATGTGGAATTATCTCACTTCAGTCTGTGGCTGAGGTTTCCACAGAAAAGACAGACATACCAAAGTGACACTGTATTTCACATGAGCACACTATGAGACCAACACTGCACAAAAAGTAACAAGATGTTCCATGTCCTGAGGTAGATGTTGTGATGTAATTTAGTAAATACAATAAGCATATGTTCAGCACCTTCCTTTGCTGGTACATTTGTGCTCAGACTCATTGTAAACTGGTATTTTACGAGGTTATAGTTTGACTATACAAGTGACAGTGGAATAAAACTTGGCAAACAGTGTTTAAGTCAAAGACTTTTAATTAACTGTTGTAAAATTTAGTTTGACCAATGTCATGGCATGGAATAGGACATTTAAATCTGTGCTACTTTAAAACTTAATTAAATTTAGAAACTGATACGGGATATAATCACTTTGCTACTGATACCATTAAGGCTAGTTATGTGTTTTGGAGGCATTCTTTTCCTTGTTCAGTAAATAACACACTTGACAAAATGACCCATTTCCTCCCCAGGCGGCAAGAGCATTGAAAGGCCGTGATCTGGTGCATCCTGGAACTAATGTGCATGCAATAATTTCCCACTGTGACACACATCAGCAGC